TTTTTTGCGTTCTATATCATACTCAAAGCGCATCAAAATCGGCGATTGGCGATTGGGTAATGTCCCTTGTGAGTAGTTTATAATAAAAATAATTTAAATTCGCTAATATTTGGGCGATGAAAGTTTAGCCGATTATTGGAAAGGTGTTTATTTTGAAAGTGGTGCACCTTAGGTTGAAATTATTATTATTATTATCATTTTCTTAACCAGTATTTTAAACACTATTGTATAATACACTTACATTACATAACACCACGAAATATACCAAATTTATCCATCAATGCTTATCAATATTTTCAAATTTATTAAAATTGAAACCCTTGAATAAAAAACAGACTTGCCCCTCTTTCAAAATAAACGACACATTTATTAATATTTTTCAGAAACTCTCAGTCACTTTCCTGTCAAATTTAATTAACTAGAAATTAACTAAATTTTAACCCTTGATTATATTATTGAATAACTCTTAATTTTTCGAAAATTATTAATATAGTACCTTTTCTTAAACAATAACATATGAATGCAAAAACTTCCTTTAAATAAAGAAATACATATTAATATAAATTTAATAATTTCATATGTATATAATTGCATTTGTTTCGACATAAATAAATATATCACAAGTAAGAAAACGAACCGGAAAATTGTTTAAGAATTAAATATCCCTTATTTTAAGTTTTCAGCGCAATTTTTATGTACTTGACCACAGAATCTGAAATCTAGGGCAGAACTCTATCATTCTAGCTGCTGCGCCGCCATTTTGTCTCTCATTTCTGCATCATAATTCTTTGATTGCTGGTGTCAGATATTGATGACTTTGGTACATACATTATTTTTTACAGCTTTTTCCTACTCACTGTACTACGTACTAATTATAATTTATAAATTTATAATTTTATAGCATGCAGCATATAAACTGTCCAACTCCTCTCGGTGACTTGTATTTAAAAACAAAGAGAGATAAATTTGCAAAGTCCACTGATTTCATCAAATATATTGTCATTAGAAATGTATTAAAAAGATATTATTATATAAATAATACTCGGTCAATTTTGACTTTCAGTTGTTTTTAATATTTTTAATAATGAAATGGAAACTCACTGTATATTGAAGAAATGTTAAGCGGGGTATATAAGCTGCTTGCTTTGAAAGTGGCCTAAATCCATATATGTTTAAATTGAAATATTTAACCAGTTAACTGTGGCGATCTTTTGGCAAAGCGCGTACCAGTATGTGTCGCGATAATCAAGCGATGACGAGTTAGCTCTCAAGAATTTATGAATCCATCTCAAATCAATTACACTTTTTATTTGTCTATTTCATTTCGTATTGACCTCTAAACATTTTAAACATATTTCAATTTACGAGTATAATTTAGTTTTCGCCAAAATTTCAATTCAAATATCAAATTGTAACAAAATTTTACGCATGACGGATATAGTCGTCAAACACACTTAAGTGGTTAAGAGTTTTAATGAAAGTAAATATACGTATAGGATAACAATGTATCACACACCTGAAGTTTATCTAAAACAGTTAAATTTAAAATTCCTGTTAAAATAGTAGCAATCATTAAGTGAGTAATATGTGTCTTCCTACAAAGAATATATTTAAGTCACTTTCAAAATAAGCAACTAGATCAGTCATCAAATTTGAAACAGCCCAAATCCGATATAACTTAAAATGCTTCGTAATAGACTTTCAAAATAAACGGCTCACGTCAAAAACAAAATAGAAAATACTATATGTCAAAGAAATGAAAAATTGCAAAAAAGTAATAGAATTTAATGAATTTTCCAATAGTGCAAATATGGATAATTATACCAATAAAACATTATCCAAAACAGAACGTTATTTGACAATAATGAATTTCATTTACAAAATTCAGAAGGCAAGTGATAAAAAATGAGCGTGTAAATGAAGAAGAGAATTAACTCAAATAACTTTTCCTTTTCCACAAGTGTAAGTGTTTGTAGTATTTTAGAAACTAAACTAACCGAAATTGAGTTTGTGTTAGTCTGCGGTTCTGTTCAGTAGTCCGAAAGTTGCTCTCGAAATCTGAATCACTGAAAACTGATTTGCTCAGTGAACCAGTTTTCCACTGGTTTTCAGTGGCTCTGATTGCAAAATCAGTCGAACCAGCGACAGCCGCAATGTCAGTGACGAATCACTGGAATATTCTGATTTCACACCGCCTAAGTTTTTGAAACCAATTCAATTACATTGAATTTGTACAATTTTAGTATTAACAGTGTGAACTCAACAAGTATTATAAGT